GGGGTTTGCCGAAGCAAACAAGGTTTCTGAGCTCGTGACCATTGGGTGGGGGGGTGGGGGGGGGGGGGGGTTGGGGGGTGGGGGGGAGTAATAACGTTCAGGCAGCTTTGCGTTCCATAGAACTCATTATCCAACATTGGAATAGCTGTCCGTGGGGTGTGGGGGGGTGGGGGGGGTTGGGGGGTGGGGTGAAGAGGGGCCCTAGCGTCTACTTCAAGATCAGCTAAGGCGTCTTCCCCAATGACAGCACTATTTTACTCTCAGCCTGTTGCCGGTCAGTGCTTGTCCACAGGGTTACTCTATATACCTCTTGAGCCTTGAAGGGCGCATATAAATGTGCTCAATACTCATGCATGTACCTCTGTAGATATTAGGTCGAAACAAAACATGGGGGGGAGTCGGGGGGAGTAATAGGGTTCAAACAATTCATCGAACAATAGCACCAAACATTCGAACAATTCATCGAAACTCAACATGGCCCCGAAGGAAATCTAATTATGCTGTTCCAATAAAACACACAACTTTATTTCTCTTTCCAACAAATCACAAGTTCAAAAATCCTGCTAATTTTTCCGCAGGATCCCGCGAAAAAATCTTGTTCGCAAAACATGAACCTGGTTCAAACAATCATCCCTTATCATGCAAACATCTTGCAAATGCTAATGTGAAACCAATGAAAAACACTGAAAATACCATGAAATTTCCTCCTACTAAACGGCTGCGGATGGACATACATGATCTTAACATATGTTACCCTTCTTGCAAACTCATTCCGACTCACGGCAAACCCCCCCGGCAAACCCAACATGTTGGTTGGTATTTGCGTGTTTGCATGTTAGTTCTCAACGTATCTGTTCAAACACTTTGTTTTACAAAAACCAGAATGGCCTGTCGCCAAAATGAACCCTTTGCGCTTTGCAACTCATGCTGCTTTGAGCTCTCGGCCGTGAAAGGAGCACCACCACCTTCGAGGCAAGTAGCACAGACCTCCAAAATGCGGCACTTTTTGTCTGCTAGCGAAACGAAACCCAGATATTCTCTGATGTCAAGTGCGTGTCACGTGTGTCACTGCATCTGGCCCCTATGGCTGAGGCCCTTACTGGATGCCCAAGGGCCGGGAGTATTGGACTCCTCCAGATGCTGCTAGGAAGTTCTGAAGGAATCGCCGGGAAAGGTATATAGTCAGTAGCAGCTTAGCATTGGCGCAGAAACGTATGAAACTCCGAAACAATTCTCCGAATTACACCGGCAAGAGGCCGCAAACAGTGTGGTGTTAGGAAGTCAATGTAGCAGATGCAACAAATCAGGTTAGACATTATCGTAGCTGCTGCAGAAGGAACTTGTTTTGGCACAAGAAGCAACGCTATGTCTAATCATCAGGACCTCATACCAGAACCTCATACCAGAACCTCATACCAGGACATCTACTGTAAGAGAATTTCAAGAGATCGTCAAAAACGGACCTGCCTGTATATAGAGGACCTCACAAGTCTTCATACAAGAGCTTCCTATGAGATCCTATGAGCATCTCAGAAGAAGTTTCATACAAGCACCAACGCGGAGAATCTTCATGAATCTTCAAGATCTTAAGGAGGATTTCAACAGGACCTATTCCATTCAAGATCTTCCCACAAGGACCTGCACAAAATTATTTTAAAAAAAGCTTCACAGCATGCCACCAGTGCGAGAAGTCCAACGCACTGTCATTCATCCGGACTCGTTTCAAACCAAGCACGTTCTGTGGTAAACAATGCTCCATTTCCAATGCAAGAATATGCAAGGTTCTTTCAAATAATTCAAGTTGTCTATGCCAGAATTGCTGCTACTTGGCTGTTGGTGGTTTCAGCGTGTTTCAGCCACAGCAACCGCAATCGCATCTTTTCAAACCCACCAGCGCGGAAGGGGAAATGATGCGGTTGGCTCTTCTGCCACCTCTCGCTTGGCTAATGGACGGTCCTCAGCTGGATGAACTGGGGCTTCCCAAAAGCAATGCGAAGGTTTCGAACAGTCTCAGAACACCAGTCTGATTCACCGTTATGCCTCCTGTTTGATGCTTTGTATGATCTTGGGACAAGTTTCCGACAGCATCACCTCCAACAAGGCAGACATCAATGCATGCTTGACATCAAATGAAGGCATAAACGAAGTCATGGGAAGATACCATCAATGTCTGTGGATGTTCGTGGTATTATGTGTTGATGATCATCTGAGTAGCGGACAAAATTATTTGTTGAATTCAATGCCATGCCATGCACAAATCAGGGTCGTTTCAGTACTCCCGGAGGTATCACCAATAGGGTATCGGTATAGGGTCGTCCCCTATCGCATCGGTTATGAAAGTTTTGTGATGTTTTGTGCAACCTCAGAAGGGCCAAGGCGAAGCAAGACTACTATTTAAACATTACATATTACATCATATTATATACATAGTATTACAATAATTTTGTCGGTTACATTCGGTTACTCATCTCTGCATGTTTTGCCACCGCCTCGCAACGGATGTTGGGAGCCATGGTGCCGCGCCAGCAACGTCGGGTGCCAGAGCCAACAGGATTCACTCTCAGATCCAGGTGGGTCAGGGGCCGGTCGTTGTCAAGCTTTGCGACCTCAGGGCCCGGTGACTTCAAAGGGGTCGAATGAAGGGCTAGTATTGGCTAGTCGGATAGAGCGCTGTAGTCTAGCAATTCCAAGCATAGCAGAACATAGAATGACATAGAACATGATCCAAGCCAAAGGATTGAAGGACAATGGCAAGGGCCGAGGTATGCCGAGGTCATGGCAAGCCTCCAAAATGCAGCCAGGTCCATTTGACAGTCCTGTGACATGTCCATGCTTTTCAACGTTTTCAATCACACAGAATCAGTGACTCTATGCATGAATGATTACAGTACACAATGTTATTGTATGTTATTGTGTTGTTTCACATCATTGCCATCCCTTGCGCAAGGTTTTATTGCTCATGGGACACTAATGCTTGAGGTCCACCACAACTGTATCCCATGTATGTGGATCACATCTGCACACGAAAGCCCTGCAGCTTGCTTAACGGCTTAACGGCTCCTGCAGTCGAAGAACACGGAGATTATGCGAACTCGAACCTGGGCAGCGAACCACAAATTTGGTCCCCAATGAGTGCCACGGTCAAGACATGGTACATGTGGCATGGTCATCCCACTATTGCTGGAATTATCGTTGGGAATCCTTAATAATGAATCTAGAAGTCTCTATTAATGGATTGATCACCATCCCCCAATCTGCGTATTTTATCTAAGTCTTGATCATAGCACATGTGTAGCTGATATTAGCTGATGCATGTGCTTGGCATGCTGAAACAGGGTTCCAAACATTTCCAAACTAGGAAAAACATTCAATGGGTGTCCTAGTTTGGAACCCACTTGCAGCACAAAACATTTATTCGTCATATTATGTCTCGTTTCTTCGTTCTTCTTTCGCTGCTAAGAGCCGACCCTTACCAGGATGATTCCAAGGAGCTCAATGCCTTTGCAAGTTCCTTCGCACCCTCTGTGCCCAAGGGGTTCTCAGATAAGTCCAGTTCCCCTGACCAGAGCTCGATGCAGCCGGTGTTGAGCTTTGGTTCTGCTTGAGTGCGGCTCAAAATCAGGGTGCCATGGGGTGCCAATGGACCAAACATGTACCATTTCTTGTGCTGAACCATTCATTTGGAGGGGTGAAAACATTTGGTACCGACAATTGTGTGACCGCCTAACGAGGGACTGCTCTCTTCCGCGCATAGAGCGGCAACTAGTTTGCCTTGCGTGAACGAGCTGGAACGAGCTGGAATGGGCACATTAAACTTGGACTTTGCAATACCTTGCAGATTCTTGATGCAGCTCTGTTGCTCAATTTTCTTGAGGTGATCCTCAGGTACAAAATTGGCACCAAGTTGTGAAGAGGAGGCTGGTCGGCTGGTTTGTCAATCGGTTCCGAAGGGCAAAGGAACGGCCACAAGGGAAGAAACTGAAGCAAATCTAATGGACTGAACTTAACGTCAAGGGAATGCTGCCATAGTGTCGAAGACAGGTGCTCCATGGTGCTCCTAAATCTTTAATCATAGTCTTCTGGCATCCGTCAAAATCCTGTGACTATCTGGCTCTTCTCCCGAAGTGGCAAATCATCAGAGCAAGCGTCAAATTCTGACGAAGGGAGAGGAATTCCAATTGACCACAGTGGTCAATCAGCCCATCGGACAGCTCCGCTAAGCCAGAGTCCAAAAGACCACAACTGTCCTTGGCAGATGTTTGCAAGTGGACGCACAGTATCTACTTCCTCAGGGGTTGTGGTTGTAGTTGGGCAGCGGCTTGGTGGTGGAGGGAGGGTGGAGCAAATCAGCATGCGAGTAGCGTGCCCGTATGCGCGAGCAGCATATAGGCAGTGATCAAGTGAGTATATCAAGGCAGTTGTCAGCACCTTGGCATTCTAGATTCTAGCATGTCCTAAACAGGCTGTGTATGGCTACTGTATATAGCATGTAAGTACCGTATGAGTTGTGACCAAAGTGTCGCAAAAGGGATGTCGTAATGTGTCGTACGTATGTAGTTGGTATGTGGAGACTATACTATACATCCATATACATCCATTAACGGTTGGAATGCACGTAGTATCGGAGTATCGCAGAAGGTTCACTGCTTCTGGCCGATTGCAGTAAACACCACACACAAACATTAATGCATAATATCTATATATATAGAGAGAGAGAGTATGATAGAGTATGTATCTATCTACATATCTATTGTGTGTGCGTACACCATGTCGCTACCTCTCTAGAGCCCATTTTCAGACACATGTGGGAATCATCAAGGGGCATGAGCCTTGGTGCCATCAAGGGGCCAATTTGATCTCAATCAGAGATCGATTCTGCGCCAAGACGTTGCGCATCATCTTGGAGCCAGCTGGGCCCAGGTGAACACCCGTCAGATGTAAGGCCTGGATCTCCTGGCACTGGGTTGGTCACAGGTGGCCATAGGCTTGGCATGAATTTATGGCAATATTAATCATTAAATTAATTATTAATTAATTAATATATATTATATATATATATATAATCAATAATATTTAAAAATTCTATAGATAGATGGACAAATATGTCCCACATACATCCACATATCACATCATGTCACATATCTATCCATATAATTCTAACATATTCTAACTAGAGTTGCTTATATAAATGTGTAATTACAGTATACAGTATCCGTGTATCTCTATGTAATCAACCTCCGTACATGTGCGCAGTAGCTCGCCTGGTGACTTCGCAGGCCTTTGCAAAGCCATTCCAAAGGACCAGAGCCCAGATCCACATCTTCTATGCACAGCATCCGAAGCCCCACACTTCGCTGCACCAAGAATTCCCACCTGCACAGAGTGCACAGTGATTGGAGCAAATTCACACCTTATCATATCCCCTGGACTCTGTGGTTCCAGCAACGGAAGCTCTGCTTCTCAAATGTTCCCCAATCTTTCTGAGCTTCATACGTCCACAACGCATGAGTATGAAGGTACGGTGCTGTTTCTGCAGCTACCACTGTGGGCGCACGCAGGGCCAGTCGCCCGTCTACCTCCTACACAGGCGATGATCAGCGGGGTATCACGGTGCTGATGTAATTCGCAAGCCATCCAGTTGTGGGTTGCCAGGGTCTACGATGTTCAATAGATTTCAATAGCAATGGAGTGGAAAAAGTTTGGATCCGCCAGCCAAGTTTGCTGCTGTGGGAGGTGGCCTTCATCATGTGCCTTTTGGATCCTTTTGGATTCTGTTTTGGACCTAGTCCCAGGATGCCCCGTCATGCCTCAGGAACCAAGTCTCCTCCAAAGTGCTTTCGACCACTCTCGCCAGTGGCTGCTGCACTGCGAACTGCTGATCCTTGTCATCATACTTGTCCTTACAAGGCAATCAAAGAATCTGACCTGCTCATGGAATGGAATGTCCAGTGCTTGTTTTGTTGACCTTGGACTGGTCTCAATCACCTGATGCCAAGTGCAAATACAACTTGCGCACTGCAGCAAAGACTCCACTCCCAGGTAGCCAAGCAAATGCAAGGATCGGCGTGTTTCCAGTTTCAGTCGCTGCTCTTGTAAGTCCAGCTCCTCACAACTTGATATTCACTGGTGGGAAGGTCTGCAACTCAAGAGCACCTCCACACAAAAAAGCCGCTCCCTGTGTTCAAACACCCAGGTTAAAATCATGGAGATATGTTCCGTACATCTGATTTCATGATATCATTGATATCTCATGTGAAATTCTTGGAGATGAGCAGTGCTTTCCCACATAATGACCTACCGGATCCTTGTGCCGCGCATAGTACATGTTCTCCGCCACTTGGCTGGCCAAGTCCCTCATCTCATTTCTCTTCTTGGTGATGGTTTTGTCTCCAGGTTCGCGGAGGAGCGCCTACAAATCAAGCCATCAAGCCATAGCTTCATACTGAAAGTGCATGAAAGATATGAAAGTGCCACAGCCGCCTCCTCCAAATCCAACACGGCATTGCAGTAGTCTCTCATCTTTTCAAAGGTCATGGCTCGGCGAAACCATGCCTGGAGAAAAGCTGCCAAAATGGGCGAAGATTTGTGGGCCGATGACTGGTTGCAGTTGCATCGCACGGATTTGGGGGAGTGGCACTTCATCCATCTGACGGGCCTTGGCAGACCGTGCCAGGGAGATCCGCAACGCCTCGTTTGCGGCCCTGGCACGTAGCCATGACAACAATGAGATATTTTTTGGCCGTGGCAAAAAATCGCCTCACGCCAACCCACCACACCAAGCTTCATTCGAACGTTGGTCTCGGATACTGATACTGGTCACTGGTCCCATGGTCAACCTCACTTTAGACTTTAGACTTTGGTCTCTAGAAACTTTTTAGAGGCGTTGGTTCTGCCTGAAAGCCAAGACGAGGTTGTCCTTCACCTCCACTAACATCGTAGAATCTTCGTGGGCGGCTGGTGCGGGCGTTGCTTCCACCTCCTTCGGAAATGATCGCTTGGCACACCAAACTTCACGCCAAAAAATGGAAGAAATACGATTAATATCAATTAATCATGAAGAATCTAACAAGCGAGAAAAAAATGGAAAACGGGTAGCAGCATTTACTCACCGGTTCAAAGAATGCAATTTGATGGATTTTCATATATTTTCATGGAATGTGACCTAAGACCTGGGATGCATTCAGAGCTTGTCCGGGCATCACTCCTTCGACTCTGCTGCGTCTTTCCTTCTCGCCAGGTCCTGCTCGGTACCACCAGCGTGCTCATGTTGCCATGCAGAAAACGTGTCCTGACATGTCCTGACTGTATGCCATGAGGCTGTTGGCACAGATGTTCAGAAGCAAAGATAGCTGGATGGTGGAGGCCTCACCAGAATCTGGCTGCACAGGTCATGATTCGGTCATGTCATGGGAAACTGTTCAACACCTGGCCTTGCAATCGAGCTTGTAATCCTCCTTCCCTTTTGAGCCTCTTGAATCCTGCATCGAGTCGCCATCGTTTCAAGTTTGATTCAACTGTCCAGCCATCTCCAGCCTGCCCTGACTTCTGCAGCTCATTCCTGCAACACCGCTGTGCCGGGTTCGGGGCCTATGGTAACAGAAGGCCTAAATGGTGACTACTTGATCTACTTGATCTGCACAAGAGACTCAAATAGTGATCGATTTAGATGATAGATGGACAAGGGATCTGGGCAATACTCTACCATATACATATACACCACACCTCAATTTGTGTTGTGTGGGTGGGTAGGTGCCTCCACCGGAATTTGAATCACAAGGTGAGCCTGACGTCTTCTGGCAGCTCTGCCCAAGGTTTTGAGGAGCTGGATAGGAGCACCTGTGCATGGTTTATGTTCATTCTATTTAATTCTATAAGCTCTTCCAAGCCAATCCCTTCCCCATAAAATTGCCTGTGCCCACACGTGGGCCCCTATAAATGAATGTAACATGAATAGGCTTCATATAACCACAGAGGGCGTTTGCTCGTAGATCAGATCAAATCGCAGGAGTACCCGTTTCAAGTCTCCAGTGGAAGGCAAAACAGATGCTGGCACTATGCTGGCAAGAGTAGACATGACGACGCAACCCTCACGGCAAAACAAAAAGACAAAGAATTACTGTACAAAAATGGGCGTAACACTCGGGAAGCGTCCAGAAGGCACCTGCGCCTGGTTGTAGTGAACATAAGCCAAATCCGCCTTTCCTGCCTTGAATGCTTCGTTTCCTTGTTTTTTCAAGGCATCCAGCTCCTCTACAAGTCTGGCCAAACGACACAGCAACCAGGTCAGTGTTAAGGTCAGTGTCAATTTATTGTGTTTCCTGCGCACTGTTTGAAAACATTGAGTCATGTCCTGCTGCGTCTCCACCGTGACCCACTTGTCAAAAGGGTCAAACTTGGAGATCAGGCGTTCCTCTTCCTCCTCTTCTGTTGTAGTAAGTGCGTATGCGTAGACATCCTGAAGCTCATCACCGAAGGCTTCCCTACTGGCCACGTACAGCGGGCAGATCAACCCCGTGTTCCTTGGAGGACCTAGCAGCAGAGCTTGCTTAACGCTATTCGATTGCCAGTCCCAGCGGTACTCCTCCCAGCGTGCGCGACAACAAAAGGGGCAAAACACAAAACCAACTGTTCAACTGAATGTGAGAATGATTCGATGGTGCCAATTTAATGTTTTATTGTCATTGTTCATTCATGAAATGTGACTCCGTAGACTTGGACATCTGTCCACTTAAAGTCCATTGGATCCCTGTCATCCGTGTCCTGGATCATTTGTCGCGCAGGTTCGACAAGGCCATCCTTGTTGAAAATCATCCCGCCGCCCTTGTGAATGCCCAGAACTACCACTCCAGCGCCACCCAGCTGCTCCACCAAGTCTTCCATGTCGGTGCCATCTTCTGGTGCAACGATATGGGGAAAAATGCCCCAACCTCAGAAAATCCCAAAACCACTGAGCAAGAACCTTGCATGGAAAACATACAAACATAATCAAACATAATCAAACATATCAAACATGATCCCGAATAATCTTATATAAATATTTGAGTAGAACGTTTCCAAATCTCTCACCCTGGAAAAACTCATGAACAAGATAAACTTTCACATGGTGCATCTTGAGCAACTTATGATGCCTTTGCTCTCATGTGCTCCATTCACTTGCCATAAATTGGGGTTATCTCAGTTATCTCTATATTTCAATCAAACTAATCAAACCATCTCAAAGCCAGTTTCCCCAAGAATGGGGCACCCCGAAAAAATCCCACCTTTGAAAGGAACGACCATGTCATTGGAGCAATACCAGGACTTCTCTCCCAGCAGTGTCATGGACTCTCCAACCGCAATGACCACAGCACCTTCCAATGGGCTTGGAAAGTGATGAACAAATATCACTGACCATGATTTATAATGTATTTCTGGAACTTGTGTGGTTCAAACATTTCAATATTATATTATATATATGTATATGTATATGTGTGTATGTGTGTATGTGTGTATTGTGTATATGTATATGTGTATATGTGTACATGTGTATATGTGTATATGTGTATGTGTGTATGTGTGTATGTGTGTATGTGTACATATGTGTCTGTATATGTATGTGTGTATGTGTGTATGTGTGTGTGTGTATGTATGTATGTGTGTATGTGTGTATGTGTGTATTGTGTATATGTATATGTGTATATGTGTATATGTGTATATGTGTATATGTGTATATGTGTATGTGTGTATGTGTGCGTATGTGTATGTATGTGTATGTATGTGTATGTATGTGTGTATGTGTGTATGTGTGTATGTATATATATATATATAGTATTGTGTATATGTATATCTGTATATGTGTATATGTGTATATGTGTATATGTGTATGTGTGTATGTGTACGTATGTGTAGGTATGTGTACGTATGTGTATGTATGTGTATGTATGTGTATGTATGTGTGTATGTGTGTGTTGTGTATATGTATATGTGTATATGTGTATATGTGTATGTGCGTATGTGTGCGTATGTGTATGTATGTGTATGTATGTGTGTATGTGTGTATGTGTGTATGTGTGTATGTGTGTATGTGTATATGTATATGTGTATATGTGTATATGTGTATGTGTACGTATGTGTACGTATGTGTACGTATGTGTACGTATGTGTACGTATGTGTACGTATGTGTACGTATGTGTACGTATGTGTATGTATGTGTATGTATGTGTATGTATGTGTATGTATGTGTATGTATGTATGTATGTATGTATGTATGTATGTGTGTATGCATGTATGTGTGTATGTGTACGTATGTGTACGTATGTGTATGTATGTATGTATGTAGGTAGGTAGGTAGGTATGTATGTAGGTAGGTATGTATGTATGTATGTGTCTATGTGTGTATGTGTGTATGTGTGTATGTGTGTATGTGTACGTATGTGTACGTATGTGTATGTATGTATGTATGTGTATGTATGTGTATGTATGTATGTGTGTGTTGTGTATATGTATATGTGTATATGTGTATATGTGTATATGTGTATATGTGTATATGTGTATATGTGTATGTGTGTATGTGTGCGTATGTGTATGTATGTGTATGTATGTGTGTATGTGTGTAGGTGTGTATGTGCGTATGTGTGTATGTATGTATGTATGTAGGTAGGTAGGTATGTATGTATGCAATGTATGCAATGTATGCAATGTATGCAATGTATGCAATGTATGCAATGTATGTAGCTCTCTCTCTCTCTCTATGTGTGTAATTATGTATGTATATTATAAATGCAAATGTATTTTAGTGTGGTGCTTGATATTGGATATACTGGCGACGATATTTCGGAGATGGTCCAAGTCCTCTAATGTATCATCAAATTGGCACCTTGCAAATAGCGCCACTTCACGTGCTCAGCCACTTCGCTGCCAATGTCTGTCCCCAAGGTTTCCCACAAACGCTTACGATCCCCGCGATCCAAAAAGACAAGGTCGGACTGCTCCAAATGAGCAAGTTCGAAGCCTCGAAGGATTTTCCACAGGAACCACATCATCCACATCGAACTACGTCTCTTTTTGGAGATTTCAAGCAAATTGATATGACTACTGGAAGAGCTGCAGAATGTACAGCAAGAGCAGGGATTTCAATAACCTTCTGGTGATGTTGCAACTTAAAATTGGATGTTGTTCTCTCAAACAATGCTGCTCGTCACACAAGACCAAGCCGCGATTTGGGGGATGATGGATATGCCTGCACAGGAGAATTCCAATCTCTGCCATTGCCTCCTTGAAAAGCTCATATCCCTCTCCGGCAGCATCAGTCCCAAAACCTGGACGCAGGGCTGGGAAAGAACAAACATTCAAACCTAGGCCAGAAGCAAATCTGGCAGAGTTGCTCTCAAAACTACTAATATATATATATTATATATATAATTAATAATCATCAAATAAGTAAAACATAATCATAAATATCATAAATGCGAGTGTGTGTGTATATATATACCTAGGCCTGCCGGCTGGGCAAAAATTCTTCCGCCAGCCCAGGCTAAAGAAATTATTGTCGCTTGAGTAAATTCTGTCTCAGCCAAAACTTACGTTTCGACTGTTCGTGAGGATTCTTGCCGGGTGAGCTGCAATTTTTGCATTTTTCGCACTTTTGACATATTTACACAATTTGGGGAACATGGGCGAACCTGTAGCATGTCAAAGTCTAAACTTGCATTGAGAACAACCAAAGCAATTCACGCCGTTTGGTTGGAAATTCACGCTGTTTGGTTGGGAATTTACACTGTGCAGTGTGTCACTTTTTTGGTAGAGGTTTTCAAGCTGCATGCATGAGTAATATGTTCTTCAATGTGGCGAAACTCTCTGCCACTCCTGTGGAATTGAGAGAATCCCATTCCACTCAAAACATCACTTTTGACTTTTATCGGTTTTATCGGACGTCACAATTTGCTGAACCATTCAAGATCCAAAAACTTCCGTCTCATCTAAAAAGTTCCGTTTGAGGGCTGGCCCCTCCAAAAGTCAATTTTCCACCAAACACGAATGATTGTTGCTGCCTCGGGTGTCCTAGGTATGTAAATCAATAAGTCCGACAAACGCAGGAGAGCAAGCTTCCCGAAACTCACTGATTGGAAATGGCTCGGCTTCCAACTGCGCCCTGCTATGCCCTGCCTATGTAGCTGGCCTTGACAGGCAAATCTCCAGCCAAGCGCCCCACTCGACGCGGCAGTTCACACTTCACGCGATGAATCCATGGTAGCTTGACATCTGGGTCCTTGGTGTGGAGGAATGATGGGAAAGAACTCTCCATGGCCATCCTGCAACTTCTAGCACAACTGGAAGAAGCATTGCAAAAATAAGTGTTGCCATCTTTTAAGAAAAGGTATTAAGCCCGTTTATGTTGCCCTGGTAGCACCTGATGGAAAAGGAGGGAGACATCCGCCAAAAAGATCTGTGGCCCAGATGGCAGCTCCTGCTTGCGCTCCTGGTAAAGAAACATCTCAGCACATCTCAGCACAACGCTCATGCATGGAGACAGTGCAAACTGTAGACAGTGAAGCTCTAATATTGAATACATCCGAGAGGAAGTGCAGCCTTCAAGCTGAAACTTGTCCTTGATTCTATCCAGAAAAGTCCCTGACAGCCTATGCTTGTCTGGCACCATAGCCCATCGCACACCCAAGCTAACTTCTTTTCCAGGTTCACGTTGTCTCTGCCCAAGATCCAGTGATCCCCTACAGAGAAATGGTATCATTATGAATGATGTCCCCATACTATGAATCAGCTTGTGACAATCTATGACACGGTATGCCAGGGTCCTGTTGCTGGAGCCACTCTTTGTAGTCCTCCCAGTCCTTCGCAGCCCAACAACATAACAACCATGGAATAGCATCGATGGCATGGCATGGCCAAACACAGCGAAGCTATGCGAAGCTCCTCAACTGACGGTGCTGGGCACTCCCAGCCCTGCTTCTTGCGAGGACGTGGAGCATCGCGTGCCTCGGGAGCATGTTAGTTCATTCGGAATGATATGTGGGCGCTGAAATTATATTTGTATACTGTATACGCGTATTTGCTCATACAAATATGCAAATCATTTATGTTCAAATCCATCTCTGCAAATGTCTGTGCATATATCCATATTATGCATATCTATCTATCTATCTATCTATCTATCTATCTATCTATCGATCGATCTATCTATCTATCTATCTATCTTTAAATCATATATATATATACTGTATAAATAGTATCAAAGGAAGTTTAGGGGGAGAAACTTCCGTGTTACGGACTTTTAGAATGTCAGGGAAAGAGTTAGTCAAAGAAAGAGTTAGCAAAGAAAGAGTTCGTCAGGGAAAGAGTTAGTCAAAGAACGAGTTAGTCAAAGAAACAGTTAGTCAGGGAAAGAGTTAGTCAAAGAAAGAGTTAGTCAGGGAAAATGTCAGGGAAAGAGTTAGTCAAAGAAAGAGTTAGCAAAGAAAGAGTTCGTCAGGGAAAGAGTTAGTGAGGGAAAGAGTTAGTCAAAGAAAGTCAGGGAAAGAGTTAGTCAAAGAAAGAGATAGTGAGGGAAAGAGTTAGTCAAAGAAAGAGTTAGCAAAGAAACAGTTAGTCAGGGAAATAGTTAGTCAAAGAAAGAGTTAGTGAGGGAAAGGGTTAGTCAAAGAAAGAGTTAGCAAAGAAACAGTTAGTCAGGGAAAGAGTTAGTCAAAGAAAGAGTTAGTCAGGATATATGAGGTAGTCAAAGAAAGAGTTAGCAAAGAAACAGTTAGTCAGGGAAAGAGTTAGTCAAAGAAAGAGTTAGTGAGGGAAAGAGTTAGTCAAAGAAAGAGTTAGTCAAAGAAAAAGTTAGTCAAAGAAAGAGTTAGTGAGGGAAAGAGTTAGTCAAAGAAAGAGTTAGTCAAAGAAAGAGTTAGTCAAAGAAAGAGTTAGCAAAGAAAGAGTTCGTCAGGGAAAGAGTTAGTCAAAGAAAGAGTTAGTCAAAGAAACAGTTAGTCAGGGAAAGAGTTAGTGAGGGAAAGAGTTAGTCAAATAAAGAGTTAGTGAGGGAAAGAGTTAGTCAAAGAAAGAGTTAGTCAGGATACATGAGGTAGTCAAAGAAAGAGTTAGCAAAGAAACACTTAGTCAGGGAAAGAGTTAGTCAAAGAAAGAGTTAGTGAGGGAAAGAGTTATAGTCACAGAAAGAGTTAGCAAAGAAATTGTTCCCTCACTGTAAATGGGATTGCAAGTTCCCGCATTGTAAATGGGATTGCAAGTGGTGCTGGTGGATGAGTTGCCGATGGAATTCCATTGTGATTTGCAACTTTAGGATCGTTCCCTCACTGTAAATGGGATTGCAAGTGGTGCTGGTGGAGGAGTTGCCGATGGAGTTTTGGAGGAAGTCTCGCACGAAATGCGTTTTTGAGAGATAGCAGATGCACGAAAGCCTATGTTTTTCCATACAAAGTTCGTCCCCGAACGTCGATGATCTACCTCTGCGGTGCGACGGGTGCGAGACGGTCTCGTGTGTGGTCGGATCATGGGCGGATCGGTCTCGGACCATGGTCGGATCGGTTCCGCATTGTAAATGGGGTTTCAAGTGTTTTACGTGCATGTGCGGTCGACAGAATTCCATTGTGATTTGCAACTGTAGGATCGTTCCCGCACTGTAAATGGGATTGCAAGTGGTGCTGGTGGATGAGTTGCCGATGGAGTTTTGAAGGAAGTCTCGCACGAAATGCGTTTTTAAGAGATAGCAGATGCACGAAACCCTGTGTTTTTTCCATACAAAGTGCGTCCCCGAACGTCGATGATCTACCTCTGCGGTGCGACGGGTGCGAGACGGTCTCGTGTGTGGTCGGATCATGGGCGGATCGGTCTCGGACCATGGTCGGATCGGTTCCGCATTGTAAATGGGGTTTCAAGTGTTTTTCGTGCATGCGCGGTCGACAGAATTCCATTGTGATTTGCAACTGTAGGATCGTTCCTGCAATGTAAATGGGATTGCAAGTGGTGCTGGTGGATGAGTTGCCGATGGAGTTTTGAAGGAAGTCTCGCACGAAATGCGTTTTTGAGAGATAGCAGATGCACGAAACCCTGTGTTTTTCCATACAAAGTCCGTCCCCGAACGCCGATGATCTACCTCTGCGGTGCGACGGGTGCGAGACGGTCTCGTGTGTGGTCGGATCATGGGCGGATCATGTTCGGATCGGTTCCGCATTGTAAATGGGGGTTTCACCTGTGTTTCGTGCATGTGCGGTCGACAGAATTCCATTGTGATTTGCAACTGTAGGATCGTTCCCGCAATGCAAATGGGATTGCAAGTGGTGCTGGTGGATGAGTTGCCGATGGAGTTTTGAAGGAAGTCTCGCACGAAATGCGTTTTTTTCTCCATTTTGGCGCTAGTGATTTTCCTTCTCAAAATCCTTTTAAAAAGTGCTTCAAAATCGTTTTTTTGTCGCTCTGGCGTCGAGATCCGGTTTTGGAGCTACAATTTCCGACGCCATTGCGCGTAGTTCTCTTGTGTTTTGCAACTCAGTCTCCGCAGATCGCATTGTAATGGCTGCGTGAAGGTTGCTTCATGCTGTGGCTGCATGCGTAATAACATAGACCCGGGCAAGCCGGCGGCGGAAGTTTCCCGAACATAAATGACCTATAGTTCAAAGACACCCTGTCCCGACCGTGTCCTTCCCTCGACAACCGTTTGATTTTTTCAGCGAGAGACGAAGCAAAGTCTTCACACTCCACACTTCACACTTCTCACTTCCCACTGCTTCCTTCACACTTCACACTTCACACTTCACACTTCCCACTGCTTCCTTCACACTCCAACGCCAGAGCAGAAAAAGTTGATTTTAAATAGAAAATGAAAGCAGCCAAAATCTGAAAGATCCTTTTTTTTGTCACATGTATGCAATACGATCATGGTTTCTTGTGCGGTTCGTAACAACGCACACAGAAACGAAAATTAAGTGACACAGGCATTCTGCCGTCTCCGGGAACGATCCTAGAGTTGCAAATCACAATGGAATTCCATCGGCAACTCATCCACCAGCACCACTTGCAACCCCATTTACAATGCGGGAACGATCCTACAGTTGCAAATCACAATGGAATTCTGTCGACCACACATGCACGAAAAGCAGTTGAAACCCCATTTACAATGCGGAACCGATCCGGACCATTCTCCGAGGACCGGTTTTTTTTCCCAGCTTCGTCCCCCCCTCACCAGAAGGATAGCTTTCCCGCGCTGACTACGCAGGTCCCCTGCCCCAGCTTTAGTATAGTAATCTTCCTCTCCTCCTGGCGCGTGTTTCGTCCTTACGGTATTATCCCCATCTTGGGGACCTTTAATGACCGGACCACACACGGAGACCGTCTTCGCACCCGTCGCACCGGCAGGAGGTAGATCATCGACGTTCGGGGACGGACTTTGTATGGAAAAACATAGGGTTTCGTGCATCTGCTATCTCTCAAAAACGCATTTCGTGCGAGACTTCCTTCAAAACTCCATCGGCAACTCATCCACCAGCACCACTTGCAATCCCATTTACAGTGCGGGAACGATCCTAGAGTTGCAAATCACAATGGAATTCCATCGGCAACTCATCCACCAGCACCACTTGCAACCCCATTTACAATGCGGGAACGATCCTACAGTTGCAAATCACAATGGAATTCTGTCGACCACACATGCACGAAAAGCAGTTGAAACCCCATTTACAATGCGGAACCGATCCGACCATATCCGAGACCGTTCCGACCACACACGAGACCGTCTCGCACCCGTCGCACCGCAGAGGTAGATCATCGACGTTCGGGGACGGACTTTGTATGGAAAAACATAGGCTTTCGTGCATCTGCTCTCTCTCAAAAACGCATTTCGTGCGAGACTTCCTCCAAAACTCCATCGGCAACTCCTCCACCAGCACCACTTGCAATCCCATTTACAGTGAGGGAACGATCCTAAAGTTGCAAATCACAATGGAATTCCATCGGCAACTCATCCACCAGCACCACTTGCAACCCCATTTACAATGCGGGAACGATCCTACAGTTGCAAATCACAATGGAATTCTGTCGACCACACATGCACGAAAAACAGTTGAAACCCCATTTACAATGCGGAACCGATCCGACCATATCCGAGACCGTTCCGACCACACACGAGACCGTCTCGCACCCGTCGCACCGCAGAGGTAGATCATCGAGGTTCGGGGACGAACTTTGTATGGAAAAACATAGGCTTTCGTGCATCTGCTATCTCTCAAAAACGCATTTCGTGCGAGACTTCCTTCAAAACTCCATCGGCAACTCCTCCACCAGCACCACTTGCAATCCCATTTACAGTGAGGGAACGATCCTAGAGTTGCAAATCACAATGGAATTCCATCGGCAACTCATCCACCAGCACCACTTGCAATCCCATTTACATTGCGGGAACGATCCTACAGTTGCAAATCACAATGGAATTCTGTCGACCGCGCATGCACGAAACACAGCTGAAACCCCATTTACAATGCGGAACCGATCCGACCATGATCCGAACAT